AAGTTTTTATGAGAATTAAATTAAAAATTTAAAAATTTTAAATAAGTCAGATAAAAAAAATATATTTATTAAATTGACCTCACGAGGTCTCTCCTACATTAAAAAAAATTAAAAGATATTAATTTAAATAGCAACCTCATGAGGTCTCTTATTATTGACCTATTTCTGAGGTCTCCATTTCTAGATCTCTTTTTGGCCTTTTTTTAGTAGTGTGGGAAAATTAAAATGGAAGTTAGTTGGATATATTAGGCCAGGGTTCTACTATTCAAAATGCGTTTAATTTTTTTTTTTTGTGAATTGTAGAATGTTTATATAGATTATACTACAGGTTTATAAAACTAATCTAACAATATGCTATAATTAAACACAATTGTCAAGATCCTTACGTTGGAGAGTCTCTGGTTTATATCTCAATCATTGTCACTTCAAAGATATTGTCAACATTATGTATAGCTAGGTTAATTTTTTCTTTGTTAAATTAGAGCATAGCCTATAAATACAATTGTAGTTCAGCCACAAAATTTCATTAAAGAATTTTCTTCTTAAAGATATGTGTTTTCCTCCATTTTTTCTATAGTCACTCCTAATATCACATGAGTGGACTTAAAATGTATACTCAAATAAGTACATTCTTCTTAAAAGATGCTTGAATAATCTTTTTAGTTTTTAATGGTTAAGAATGATGAAAAAAAATAAAAATATACGTTATATATACCATTCAAGAAGATTGGATAGGTATTGGATATATAGGTTATATTCAAAAATTTCATAATTTTAATTTCCAAGGAATAAAAGTAGGGATAAATTATATTTTCCCAATAGAAAATAGAATTTCAGTGAAACACTTTACACTAGAGATTCCGCCACACTACTTTCCCGTTGATACACATGTAGAGATCTAGAAATATTTATATTTTGAGATAAAATTGGTAAAAATTAATAAATACAATGTAATTAAAATAAGAAAAACAAAGATGTGGGCTCTGACCTGATTGTTGGGCTAAATGCTGGGCAAATTCATATGGGCTTCCCAGGTTCCCATAAGTCACTCCAACAAAATGTTTAAAATGTAGTTGTTTGTTTCTCTTCGCCGAAATTTCAGATAACATCATAAGAAAAATACCTTATTTTATATATATATATATATATATATATATATATATATATATATATATATATATATATATATATATATATATATATATATTATAATTACGTATTTTATTATTAATTAAGAATTTTTTATCATATATGGAGGAAGATACACCTAGATACATGTATGTATCTTTGTTGCTAGATACACTAAAATAAAGAGAAAGGCGAGCGAGATGGGAGGAATGCTAGCGAGTATCTGGAATACCAAATATATAGGAGAGTGGTGGCTGAGATGGGAAGGAGGTGAGCGAGATTTGTTTTGTATCCCATATACATGTGAATACTACTTGAATACGTTGTATCTAGAACAAATTATATCTAATTTTGACCCATATATATCAAGATACATGTATCTTGTAATATTACAAACTATAATGTATTTATCTAAGTAAATTATCGCCTAAACTAATGGAATTTAGGTAAGTTTATCAATATTTTAAAATGCAATTTCTTGATTGTCTTGAAAACTTCGAATAAAGTTATCTTATTTCGAATAGTTTCAAGATAAAATTGATATATATTATACTAGTAGGGACCGACGAAAGTGAATTACATCATTAACGACAGGATAATTTTGAGCCAAAAACAAAACGAACAAATTTAGAGTCAATATTGACTTTTTTTCACTAAATATATTTTGGCATGTTGTTACCTTTGGAATGAAATTTTATTTTATTACAAATATGAAAGGGTTCCTATTAAAAATACAATGTAAAAGATCAACAATATGATCATGATGAAATTAATTAGTTAATAAAAATAATTAAAATTCATCATGGTCATCATTTGTGGAGAAAGAAGGGAATTCAATTTTTGAACCACATTTTCCTCCATGTGGAAAAATTGGGCAATCAATGAATTTTGATGCAGAAGAATCCACACATAGGTAAACTTGGTATAATTGATGGTTCCCTTGTGAATCAACATTGCACTCTATAAATGGTGTGTGTCCAACTCCTTTTTCAATTGCCTTTTTAATGCTTTCTACACCATAATAATCTCCATTCCTTGGTTTAATCCCTAATTAATCAACACAAAATTATGTTAGCAATCATAACAACAATAATTCAGTGTAATTTTATAAGTGAGCCTGGAGAAAATAAACAGACATTAACCCTATCTTTATAAAATTTTCTAATAGACTATTATTCTAAGTTATTATGAACATTGTTAATATCTCTCTCTCACACACATATACAAATACACAATGTGTGTATTAGTGTATTTATACATCATATCGAAAATTATAAGTTCAAGTTATATATCTTATATAATTAGAAGATTGTCTATATCTTTTACACGTCAGTACATAAAAGCTAAACTCGTTACGTATAGTTACCTGCATTGTTAAGATTTTGAAGAAGGTTAGATTTGGTCTTGAAGTCAAGTGCAGTTTGGAAATAGGCATGTTGGTTAAGAGCTGAACAAGTGCCATGTTTTAGCCATTCATGACTCCAAAATTTTAAACCATCACTACTAGGGCAAGCAAGTGATGGCCAATTCTTTTCCATTGTGCTTATAAGATCTGAGAACTGCATACACACAAACATACAAAATAAAATAAAATAAAATAATTAGCTTATTGTATGAATTTTTTACTTGATAACTAAGCATGGTTTTATTGGAAAATATTGGATTATAAACATTTATATATACAACTCAATAAGACAAAGGGTGTGTTTAGTACGAAGGAAAATGTTTTCGTGACAAACTTATGATCAATATATGTACATGATTTCGGCAAAAACGTTACTCCTAAAAATATTTGTATATAATCTCGATCACTATAACGGATCACTATAATGGGAGGTGGGGATGGGGTGAAAATGAAATCTGTTAGAGGATGGAGATGACATAATCAAAGTTAAATGTCACTTGTGGAATTTATTTGCGATCCCCACTTCTACTAATGAGATATTTTCCTCATTTCATGAAACTTATTTTCTTACCAAAAATATTTTTTCGATTTTTTTAATTTACCAAACATGAAAAAATTAAAAAAATATTTTTCGAACCCAAAATGACCACTTAGAAAGAACACTGGTAGAAGCAAATGCAATATCCCATCATGTCCAACAACCTAAAAACAATAACTAAGCAAGAAATTAAACATAGGTTCTAAGCAACAAAGTCTCAAGTCAAGAATTATACACTAACTTATTTATAAAATATTTGAAGTTATATAGACTTAAAATTTAAAATTAATTACATAATCTTGAAGCAAAAATATAATTAATACGAGAAAAGAAAAACATTTCGTACAAGCAAAATTATACAAGTGGATGTATAAATCCATACCTAAAAACAAGAAGTCTAAGCAAGGAAACATGGGCACCAAAAAGTAGGAATAACATATTATACTTTTTGTCAAAGTTGTCTTTGTTAAACACAAATTTAAATTTAATCAGACTTCAATATAAATACTGAACACTCGGTGATGGTAACCAAAAAGAAAATTAATTAAGACTTATTCCGAAAAATGTCATCTTTGTATGTGTTGATTAATTATTTTAACTAATTCGAATTAGGTCAAAGTACCTACGTACATATGATTTCTTAATGTTTAAGCCTAATATATGATTCTTCATGTTTTCTTAAAACAAAATCTACAATATGTAAAAATAAACTAATATAGATGATTTTTCATGTTTTCTTAAAATAAACCTGCATATTTTTTCATGTTTTCTTAAAATAAACCTGCATATTTAAAAGTTACGTAAAAAAATACTATAAGAACAACATATATAGTGATATTAAGAACAAGTTGCGCAAATAACCAATTAAATTGACTATTTCTTTTCCTAGCAGATATACATAGGTTATACACAATTTTCTTTTATATACTTTATTAGGAAGACTTTAGCAATATATAAAAGACCCTATTTATACAAGTTGAAAATGATATTGACATATACCTAATTATAATAATTTATTGCTTACTATATAGCTAGACTACTTCAAAGCTAAAGTTTGAAAATTAATGTGAATATACCTCAGATTCATCCAAAGAGCTTTCCCTATCACAATTTTGTGGCCATTTTCCATCTTTGTAGTTTGGCCATAGACCATGAATACTAAAATCTTCATCTGGTTTTCCAGTAGTAGGATAACAACAACTACGCCTCGTGTCGCAATAAGACGCTGGCCACTACAATAATATCATAACGAACATCCTTAGATGATCTGATAATATAAAAGTTTCATTACAGTAATATCACAACTTCCTTTCGTTGAAAAATTGCATTGCATTGCATGCATAAAGGTCAATGATGAATATTCATGTTCCTAGATATATACATATACGTAAGAGAAGTTTTAATTTCATTGTAGTAGCATAAGTATTTTCAAAAATTACTTTAGGTTAAAAGTTCGATAAATTCATGATTCTGTCATTGCTTGATGTATAAATTTCTACTAAAGGACGTACCTGTTGAACAAAGTAGAAGAAATCAAAGTCTTGTGATGCAACACAAAGAACTAACAAACATTGTACAACAATAATCTTAATCAACAATTTTTTTTGAGATTTCATCATTTTGTAGATTAATAATAGTAATAATAATTTCTACTACAATAAACTTTTGAATTTTCTTTGTGGGTGAGTAAAATAGAAAAGAAAATATACTTGGTATTTTTAGTTTGATGTTTTTATGTCTCAATTTATAGGCAAAATTAAGACACGTCTTGAAGGAATATGCTGATAAGTATATGCCAACTAATTAATTTGTGTAAGAAAAATAATATTATTATTTAAAATATTGTTGCGTGTACTACATTAAAGTACATGTGTCAATGTTCTAGTTGTTAATATTTATCTTCATGTGCTTAAGATTTGGGGTTTACGCATTAATTTATAAGCTTCTACTTCTCTATGTTCAAGAAAAATTTAAACCTAATTAATTACTATCTATATGATTAATTTCTCAATCGAGCTTATCGCTTGGATATGTCTAGTGTATTTTATTCTTTTTAGTATTGTTTACGAGCTATTATATTAAATCGGAGTTTATCTATAATTCGTTAAAGTGATGATTTACTCGCACACCTCAATTCATTAGAATTTGGGTTGATATCTTGCCCAAACAAGTTTATATCAAAATATTTTGAATAGATGCGTTTTTGTATGTTATACAATATAGTTATAATAAAAAAATAATTTTATTAGTTATTGAAAAATTATATGTGAGTGCGTAAACCCATCACGTTTGAATTTTGACCCGCTTTTTAGCTCAATTGAGCCTATGTAATTTTGGGGGGCATTCAATAGAATAATTAACTTATTTATTAACTCAATCCATTGTGACTCTTTCGAATTCACTCAATCTGTTCCTTTGACATGTATATATGTGCGTACACCCATTTTTTTGTCCTTAAGAAAAAAGGATTAATCCCTTTATCCTATTTTAATTTTCTTTTAAATCAATCAACCTATAAATATAAATATAAGTGTATATTTAAAAGGAATAAAAAGATTAAACTACATTTTTTTCTAGTTGGGAATTAAGTTCAATTGGAAGTTAAGTAAGGAAACGTATTACGTATATCTTGAGCTACGTTTGAATATTAGGTAATAATAGCTTGTGATTAATCATCAAGCAAAAAAAAATGTCAAATTCATACATTCCAATGAATATTAATAAAACCCAAAGCTTGTCTTAGTTTTTATTTGTGAAATATGATGAGTTTAGAGTTCTTTTTCAACCAAGCAATGTTTTCGATTAAATTTTTTTAATAAAAATTCTTGTTAGTTCAATGAGCCAAAATTTCACTATAAGAAACTTGACTTAATTTGGTCAAAATTCTATATGAACTACAAAAATAACTGGTTAAGTCGTATCATTTTTTTCTTCAAACAAGACAGGTAACTCTTTTAGAGTTTTAGTTGTTTAATAGGTTAGGTGATTGATAAACAAGAGCAATGTTAAAATGAATCTTATGATGCTAAATCTCGAATTAACAAAGCTTGTGAGAACCTTCTTAAGATAAATCTCATTTTAAAATAATTATATGTAGATATCATTTTAATGTGTATAAATACTATTGAAAATAGAAACTCAATTTGAAAAATTCTTGCTCAACCAATTACTTAGCCACCACCAAAGTGGTTAATTAAATAATAATATTACTAGACAAAATTTTGATAAGCTTATTGTGACATGTATTGATAAAACTCCATTTTTCTGACATTTTTGGAAAATAAATTCAATTATTTTACTTAATTTCTTATTGGGTCAATATTTTTAATTTGTCAAAGACTTAATTAAGTACAAGTTTTGTTATTTGAACAGAATAAATATAGACCTAAATTAGGTGATAGGCTCGATCCAATCTACAAAACAACTTGGTTTTATTTGTATACATTTCTTCTAAAGTTAATTCTATAATTTTTAATTTAATTAACAACCAGTGTTTCATTAATTATGCAGATTATTTTTTTAAGAAATTTTTATAATTACAAATTAAATAGCTAAGTATATGAACATGTTTTAATTGCCTTTGGGTTAATATATGTTGTAGGTATGTTGATACGATCGAAGCACTTAATTCTTCTTTTGGATAATGAAGTCTCTGTATATGATCGTAGGCTCTGATATCATGATAGCTCCATAATTGGAGCTTTAAGCTTTACAATACTGTAGAGAGGAAGAAAGAAATTGCATTGATTGAATTGTGTAACTTGATACATTGAATCTGTATATTGTGTATATTGAATCTGTATATTGTGTAACTAATGTCACCTGTCAATATTTCTCACTAACTCTAGTTGATTAGTTAACTAACTCAACCATCTAGCTTGCTAACCAATTACACTAGTTAATACTCCACCTCGCCACTAATAGTAGTTTTTGTTATAGTAGTCGCCGCCAATATCTATAATACTCGTCACTAATAGTATGTTTTTGTGACAATACTAGTCACCGCTAATATCTATAACAGTTGTCACCAATAATATGTTTTTATGGCAATATTAGTTGCTGAAAGTATCTATAATAATCGCCACTAATAGTATGTTGTTGTGACAATACTAGTCGCCGCTAATACCTATAACAATCGCCTCAAAAGAAATGTTTTTTTTTGGCAATCATAGTCGCCACTAATATAATATAGGCCACTAATTGTATGTGTTTTGTGGCAATATTAGTAAAGTGTTTAATCAAACTTTTGAGAGAATATAAATGCTTCTCACGAGTAACTAAAAGTAATTTTTTAGAAATTAAAAATGTAGTTCCCACCTATACTACTACTGTGAAAAAAATGATTTACTTAAAAAAAATGATTAAAATTTTAGTGAAACACTAATTATTGCTTTATAATGTCTTTTAAGTTTATTATTTACAAACAAATTATGAAAACGCTTTTGTAAGAGACTTTTATAAAATAAAATTTTAAGATTAGGCTAAACATGTTTTATTTATTGTTATTATTATTATTATTATTATTATTTTGACAAAAATGTATGTACTTCTATGTGACAATTTAGACCGACATTCTCTATGACGTTAAGATTTATTTTATTTTTCAATAAAAATGTTTTGCTTTCCTTCTCTTTATAGCAAGTGTTTATATGTGTTATTGCAGAATCTGATGCATTGAATGAGATTATTTGTATGTTAATTAGTGGTCTTAAATTGGAACTCAGTGTATAATAAAATTCTCGATAAAGAATACCCTGAATGAGCCCTATAAGATGCAAGTCCAAAATTATCGAATTTTAATATGAATATCAAAATCGAAAAAAATATAAAAGTGTTTATGTTTAGTTTGGGAAATTTGTTATACATGAAAAAAGAAACAAATCATTTTCCAAAACAAGCAAGAGAAGTCCATATAACATAAAGTGCATCTCTTTATTATATTATGAGGTCACAAACAACGTAATCAATTCAAAATCAGTTAATCCTTTTAATATTGTTAATTCAATGAACATATCGTAATGGAAATAACAAAAGATATTATCAAATTGAAATAAGAATAAGGAGGAAATGATAAAGATTATTATTAAAATTAAAATCGCAAAGAACTTATGAACAATTGATATACAATATAATAAATGTCAATTTCCCTTCGATTAATTCTTTAGATATTGAACCCTCTGGTTAAAAGTCCTAGCTCCGCCACTATTCTACATGACACCACGATTCTTATTCTAGTTGGCACGAATAAAACAATGTCAATTTACTAGTTGTAACGGAATTAATCAACTTAATTTAATCCCAAAATATATTATATGTCTTATTCATACAATTTAATTTAGTGTATAGCGATTTAAATTATGACCTTTGTCTATTAAGTTGTCCCATTTGAAACAAAATATATTTAAAATATTCAGTTAATAATATATTTTAGTGTTGAGTACTAAGAACAAACAACAATTTTCAATATGTTATTGCTCCAAACAAGGCATAGCCTTTTTACAATGATTAGAAGATGTATTTTATATAACTAAAACAAGAAATAGTACAAAGGGAAGACAACAAATTTAGGCATATGAAATATGGCTAAAAGAACAAACACTAGTTTAAAATGTTGGGAACTCAATGCTTGTGCCACATTTCCCTCCAGGGAAAATAGGGCACTCAATGAGACTTGAACCCGAGCCATCAACACAAATGTAAACCTGGTATAGCTGACTGTTACCCGACTGGTCTACATTACATTGGATCCAAGGAGTATATCCAATCGCGCTTTTAATTGCATTTCTAATATTGACCAGGTCATAAGATTCGCCGTCAGGATGAATGTCAGCACCTTGAAGAATTGACAAAAGATCAATTTGATTCTTGAGATCAAGAGCCTTCTTAAAATAAGCGTGTTGGTTTGTGAGAACGGATTCAGCACAAGTGCCATGCTTTTCCCATTCATGTGACCAAAATGTTGAGCCACTACCACTTGGGCACGCTAGTGTTGGCCAATTTTGTTGCATACTACTAATTAAGTCAGAAATCTGTCGAGTCAATTCAAAAACTTATAAATAGGTAGTAACGAAATCAGAAATTCATACGAGGAATTTCAAATAAATGTTGAACCATGACAATTCACACCTATGAGTTGAACTTATGATCTAAAGAAAAACTTGAACCTTGTTTATAGTACACTAGTCTTTTCTTATATCAAGGAATTCAACCATTCATATCTAATCAAGAAAATTCATTTTTGTCATATATATGCGGTATAATTTTTCGGCGAAGGAAACTCAATTGAACCAATGAATATATTCTTACCCTAACGAGATTCAACTATTCATGTATAACAACAAAAAATATCATTTTTGTCATAGTTGTGAACCTTGTACTTTAAACCCCTTGCCTTCCTATAAGACCCGCCCCTAGAATTCTATGAGTTCAATTAAATCTCGTACTTTAAACACGAATAATAGAAAAATAGTAATGGAAAGAAAAGCTAAATTTTAAATAAAAAACCGACCCGTAATTCAAAAACATAACAAATTCCGTACTTAAAACCTAATAACTAACTCTAAATATTTAAATCTTGAATTCGACTCTGGTAACATCAATTAGAATGAGACTATGTTTCTAGAATATTGAATACCTGAGATTGGTCATAAGGACTGTTTGGATCACAATTTGATGGATAAGTCCCATCATTATTATTAGGCCAAAGTCCATGAATTCCAAAATCTGCTGCTGGTTTTCCAGTTGTAGGGTAACAACAACTTTGTTTTGTGTCACAGTATGACCCTGGCCACTACATAAAAAAAATCATTTTCTCAGAAATCGTCTTTTTATCCCCACAAAAATTATATTATATCTTAATTTTTTCGGACTATGCTCGTAAAAGAATTTGAATCAATCAAAAAAATTAAATGTGTACCTGTTGAACAAAGTAGAAAAAGTCAAAATCTTTAGCAGCATTGAGGACTGATAAACATTGTGTAATAATTAACAAAATCAAGAACAGAGAAAAGGCTGAATTAGAAGCCATTTTTTTCTTGTAAAAAAAATTATTTTTTTTTGTATTGGTAGTGATTTGATAAAGTGATTTTGGGGGTTTTATTTATAGGAAAAAAATAATAAATGAAAGATGTGAAAAGTCTAACTTTTTAAAGTGTGAAATTGAGGAGCTTGATATAATAATATGATTTGGATTTTGTATCCTTTATTATTAGTGTTTTTGATGTTGACACAATTGATAAGATGCCAATTATTGATTTTGGTATATTCTAAAGTATATTTAGTACAATAATATAATAATAATAATGTTATTTTAATATGTTGATTTGGGCTGATTTTAAGGAAACATTTTTAATTTTATTCCTTTTATAGAACCTTTTCTCAAATCTTGGAAGATGGAAAGTTGTCAATAATGTTAGTTATTTGTATTAAGCATATTACACACTAAAACACGCTCAGATTTAAATTATTTTTCATGATTTTTTAAAAATAATTATTTATTATTTTAATTATTTTAAAAGTGTAAGATAAATGAGGCTGAAATAATGAAGAAACACCTTCTAAGTATTACTCTCGCCGTCCCATTTCTAATTTGACTTATTCTTCTATCGTTATTTAATTTTTTTTGAAACTCAAGTTATCAGTTAATGAATACGAGTTAATTTATTTTGATTAATTAATTTAACAAATAAACATGATTGGTTTTTCTAAGTTGGTCAAATGTATATTTTCAAGGCTAATAACCTATAAGAAAAAAAAGAACGATAATTTATGCATTGATTTTATGAAAATAATGTTTTGTAAGAGACGTGCAACAAACAGATAATTTAAATAAAATTAAGGAACTAATTATTGAGTTCATTAAGTATTATTATATAGTGTTAATTAAATAAAATAAAATAAAACGGTTCATATGAATGCAACATGTGTGATGTTTTAATTATTTTATTTTTAAGTCTTGATTAATTGAATTATTGGCCACTGTCGATTTCACATTTATACTTCTCTCATGAATGAATTGTTCATTATATCTATATTATAATAATTAATATGCTCTCCATACCTCCCCATAATTCTTACAATTGAGTTTCAGTTCATACTGATATTGTATATTGAGCTAAATTCCAAACCCTTCGACCCCGATATTAAAGTAGGATTCAGAACTTAATATAATGTAATTTTTTTACGAAAAAAATTAGACAATTTAAGGGATTGTATGTGAACACAAGGAAGAGTAGACAAAAGCAACACATACCTATACCAGGACCTTTTAGGCCTATAGACAACTTTCTTTCACATCTTTTTTATTTATATGATTTCACATGTAATAAAATTTCATTATTTTTAAATTTAAATTAAATAAAATTAACTTTTACATAGATGATGTATAAATATTTTTACAATCAGATCACTTAAAAATATAATCCTAGATAACTCTATTCAATACTAGCATGGTTCATAGCCTAGAATTAATAAACATAACTACATAAGTAATCTATTGTAACAAACTAAATTACATTAATGGATTATGTAAAAAAATCATTACACTAGATTGTAAAAATATATTTTAAAAAAATTCATTATATCGTGACAACTAATGTTCTATTGCACCACGGCATTGTCATAGCCAATAATAAAAATGTACCAATCCACATTTGACCAAATTGAACTATATACAAACCAATCTTTTAGGTACGTGTTGATGTAAAACTTGTATGTTTGTTTTCACGATCACTAAAGTCTTTAACAATATTATATAGTGTATTGATTATAAATAATTATATTTGTTTATTATTGTTATCATAATTACAAATAATTATAATTATTATCGTGCAATAATTGACGCAAAATTCTTTATTTCCGGTACTATAGTTTAAATTTCAATATATAGATGTCAATATGCTCTCAAAACTCATGTCACTTATCAATTTACTACTTTGAAAAGTTAAAAAGAAACAAGGCATTGCAATTTGTGTGGTATCCATTAATTTTATTTTTCCTTTATAAAAGCATGGGATAAAAAAGATGCTTAGGACAAAATACAAGAGGCTACGTGCGGCAAATGAATAATCTTGGTTGAATTTAGACGGGTCATAATAACGAATGGTCATTATCTAATCCCTGCGCAAAGGTTGGTCAACTCATGTTTTTGATTTATATTTTACAAAAATGAACATAGAGATGAATGATTTTCAATTTTTGACATTACTTGCTTCATGAATAGAACTTTAAATTTATCGAGTTTTGCCTTATAAGTTAATTTTGATTTTGAAGGACCACAAGATAAGCAAAGGTTGTCATACTATGCCATTTTTTGGTTGCATTTGGGCAAGAAACCTGTGAATACATAGCTATTACGAATAATACATTACTTAATGAGAGGAATGTATAGGATAAGAAAATGCATCATCCGAGAGTTGATAGAGATGTATCCGAAAGGAGATTTGTGCAACTTTTTTTAAAATGTAAAAAATATTAGAGACTGATAAAATAAGATGGTAAATGCTTGTCAGACACAATTAATGGCATAACACATAAGTGCTCTTTTAACTTAACCTTATTTCACATTGATTTCCTTCAATTTTATGCGTACCCAAAGTTGGAGGACACAAACGTGAACTGAAGTCAAATTAATGGCATATTTATGTATTACGCCCACAATTAATCAAGAAAAATACCACACATTTGCAGTGAGCTCTGAAATGAGATGATAAATCTAGTGAAACTAAGACAAATAAATATCAACAATGGAGAGATCATCTAAAATTGGCAAGAAAAGATATCCAAAGTAAAACTTTGGAACCCTCATTTCTGATAACCCTACACTCTTCTCATCCTGTTCCTATAATCTAGGACTCCTACTTCACTTATGTGCAAAATCCTCTCTCATGAAACTAATGTGCAAATATGTCTCGTGTCAACTCGCGGCTTGTTAGATACAGCAGCTGTAAGAATATGAATCTGCTATGGAGATCAATGATCGGGGGGGTTACATCAACGATGGAAATGACTTCCCCATTCTTCCTCGCACCATCAAGTATACAAGTGTACCCTCAAACTTGTGCCCGGGAGATCATCAAATTGATCAGTCACACAAATCCCAGAAGCAGCTCCAAGATCCAGTAAGCCCCTCTCCATAGTGGAAGGAAAAAAAAAATGAAAGAATCACACAGTTAGCAGCTGAAGTTCATATGTACTACAAGAGCAAGAACAGCACCTGCTGACATGCACACAGGATAGCAGCGAAAGTTCATGCGTACTACAAGAATAAGAACACCACCTATTGACAAACACATAGGTCACGTTACTGAGGAGGATTTAGAATCCTCAGTCCTGTTACTCCGACACATGCAATCTGGGCAAGGGAATGTATATATCGAGTCATTTGGTCTTTTAATCTCAATTCCTTTTGAATCACTATGTGCTCGTATACTATGCATTTGCCGCTTGAAGCTCTTCCACCTGGAAGATGAGCACATGGAGAACATACACCGGTCAAAAGCAAAGCAAAGCCAACATACAAGACTGTTTAGACATACCAAAGGGGTTTTCGATCCCCATAACTGCTTTCTTTCAGTTTGAATAGAGGCACACTAGAAAGGTCTCACGTAAACAGAAAAAAAAAAGGCAAAAAGTTAACCAAAAGCTTACCCGATATTGGGATTATCATATAACAAAGCTAACTTCCTCTTGTCTGGCCTGATGGTCCTGGAGTGCCCCCCATATAAGTATCTTCTATGCCCCAACAGAAAGTGGGGGAAATTGCCTCCCTGAGTTGTCACGAATACTTCACTATGAAGGCAAACAGTATAGTCTATGGCAGCCATCCTGGAAGAGTAATTCTATAAGCAATAACTTGAGTCAGACAGTAGCCAAAGAGGAGGGGTGAGAGGGGGAACTAAAATGCCTGGAAGGAGAATCGAACAATTTAAACCTGAAATGGGCCTAATTCTTCTGGTGATGCCAGCATTTCTTTAGTTTGTAAAAGAGGAAACATTTCTAATAGTGGTTTCATATGTCGCTCAGAGTCGTATATTTTTCCAGATGCTAAATAGATGGATGTAAACTTGTCAAATCCCATGCCTCTTAACATCAAACCAACCTGATAAAAAGTGTACAGAGAATTAGCAAGGAATTTTTTTTAGGGTAAATAATTTTATTAACACAAGGGGGAAACCTATACAAGCTGAATATTTAGAAACGAGAACCTACATCGAACTATGGTTATTAATGAAAGAAACCCAATCTTCTAAACAAATAGGGATCTCATTGGCCAATCTTCTATACAAATAGAGATCTCATTGGCCAATCTTCTATACAAATAGGGATCTCATTGGCCAATCTTCTATACAAATAGGGATCTCATGGGTACACCAAAAGGAAACTAGAAACAAAAGACTATTTTGCAAATTTATAAAATTTTGTTCAACTCGTTCATGAGCTCTCATATTTTTCACTTTCCAAACAACCCACTTAATTGCTAAAGGGGCAACCTTCCGTGCCTCTGGACTTCTCACTGCCCTTCTATATACCATCAGGCCTCAGCTATGCAGCATCTCCTTCACTAGTTCAAATCACCCATAGCTCAAAATCAGTTAAGAACCACCCTCCACAATTGATTTGCCACTTTACAATACAATAGAAGATGATCTATAATTTAGCCTGAACATTTGTATATGAAACACCAACTAACATAGATGACCCCCCTATTTCTAAGGCTTTCCACTGTCAAAAAAAACCCCCTTGATTTAAACATTTCTCTTTTCCTCCAAAAAAGAAGACTAGATCATTCCCCTTGCTTTCAACAACGCCATGAAAAACACCTGCCACCCGTATAGAGCAAAGAGGAAAGCTACACATTCCTCTCCTTGGTAAACTCTTGTAATAAGATTAAAGAGCGAATAAACCATCTCTACTCTCTCACCATTTACATGCATCCGAATTATCGTTCAATATATCTTGTCCACACTAAAAACTCAACCAAATTATGAAATTCTCCACCCTCCCTATTCATGTAGATTCCTCCAATATCTCAAATCCCGATGAGGACCTACAAA